TCAGCGTAGAGGATAGAGGGGGTTTGATTCTTTTCTTGCCTGACCCACCAGATGGCCTCTCCACACTACAGCAAGCCATTTCTCAGTGGGCGCACAGGGGGAGCACCTATGGGCTACTCCCGGGAGTGAACCTGGTTTGCATTCAGATCCAAAGGTTTGAGCACTTGGAGAAAACAAATCGGCCTCAAGTTTTAGACACAACTCTGGAGCTTCCAGAGTTTATAGATAATGGCACGACAACCGCTGTGGTCAGCTTTCGACTATATGCATTCATCATTCATCTAGGAGATGATTGGAGATCTGGGCATTATAGGACAGGTTTTTTGAGAGAAGAAGTGGCGTATCTCGCAGATGATGACCGCTCACCACGGCGAACTACGCTCCTCTCGGATCAAATTTGCCAGGGATCGTATTTGGCTTTCTACGTAAGGGTCTAGCTCGCTCTACCTTCGCATGCGGAGGTTTCCTCCGGAGGCTTCCTCCGCAGCAGTGTTCTTTCTTCTTAAAGTAGACCTATCTGCCTGCTGTTGCCTAAGGCAACTCGGCATGAACGCTGCCCTGCGCGCAATAAAGCCATGATCTCGTGCTAAGATGTATAGTCTCTTGCGTGAAACTTTCACATGCGGAGGTTTCCTCCGGAGGCTTCCTCCCCGGTAGTGTTTCTCACAGTAAACCGTTCTGCCTGCTGTAGCTTAAGGCCAAGCTGACCCATTCTTGTCCCTGAACCTGAAGCATCTGAAAGAGCCCTGCGCGCACTTCAGAACATGTGAGGTCTCATCCAGGTCGGTGGGTTCAGCTTAGGGTCACTTTTTCGGATGCAACCTTGCCTTGTCGCAGCGCTGGCCCCGAGAGCCGTGCAAGGTGTCCCAGGTCAGGCGCTTCCCTCTTCGCAAAGTACTCGTGCCTATGTGAGACCTCCTCGTTAAGTTCGGTCAGTTGGGGTCACATTTTCTCGACCAGGAATGTAATTTTGCCCTGTCGCAGCGCTGGCCTCAGGAGCCGCGCAAGGCGTCCCAGGTCAGGCTTCGCAAACTTAGCTACCCTGCCTCCAACTTGGGCATCCTTCTTGGAACGTGCAAGGCCGCCTTGGTGCGCTCTGCCTACGGCCCTCTGCCAGTTGTTTAGCGTTACCTGTGTGAGACGTCACTAGACAGGAACGCTGAGTGTCGGCCTCACCAGAGGTACGGCTCGCTAAACAGCTGGTGCGTGGGTGCTGGACGCAGTGACTCACAGTAGGGTGTCGGGGTAGCCGCGCTTATTTTTCACTCTTTTGCAGTGCTGAGTACTTGATATCGGAGGCTGCCTCCGTGCCAACTTCAATTTCTTCATTGATTCATTGCATCAGATTAGGAGGTTTCCTCCTGAAGATCCTTAAGTACTCTGCCAAAGCAGATTCAGTGTAGCAGGTAGTGAGACCTGGTAATCTGGAGGAAGCGATCCTCTCGAAGTCCAAAAGGCCGGACTGTGAAATAAAAAAGGCGGGTGAGACCTTCTATATCACACTTGCCCGCCTTAATCACACCAAACTCAGCTAGCGCACAGCTATAGCCTGCAACACAACATCGGGGCCAGCCGGCACTGCAGCAGTCGCGGGTGCAGGTGAGCCAGTAGGAGGCGGTCGTAGGGTGTCCAGCCAGCACAGCGCTATCGCAGCCCTGAGGGGCGGATGCATTCCACATACTCGAACATAGCTGTGCACAACAATCCTTTCAGCAGCCCTGAGGGGCGTGAAGTACGAACTAGCAAAGACTGCTGGAGCTCCCAAGGCGGATACAGAGTAGCCGACGTGCCGAGGATCCAAAGTGATCAGAGGTCCACATGCTGATTCTGGCAGTGAGTGCAATGCAAAAATGTTGTTGTTGTTGTTGTTGTTGTTGTTGTTGTTGTTGTTGTTGTTGTTGTTGTTGTTGTTGTTGTTGTTGTTGTTGTGGTTGTGGTTGTTTTGTTGTTTGTGGTTGTTTGTTTTTTGTTTGTTTTTTTTGTTTGTTTGTTGTTTGTTGTTTGTTGTTGTTTTTGTTGTTTGTTGTTTGTGGTTTGGTTGTTTGTTTTTTGTTGTTTGTTGTTTGTTGTTT